CTAGCTGGTGTGCGTACGTGGGAAGGAGATTGCTTTTTTGCCTCCGTAACAGTTAACAACAGGCTTGCTGCATTGCAACTGCCCTGGGACAGGCACAGAGCCCAGGAGCATAGCTTGCCCTAGAGGTGCACCCTCAAGTTCAGACATGTCACATGCGTGTATGAATGTGCATGCCCGTGGGCTCAGGGAAGGCGTAACTCAGACAAGCTGTCGTGTGGTATGGAAATTACAAGAGAAGAGCAGGGCTGACACGTTGCCCACCTCGCCTGGAAAATCCGGGGAAATCCCTGTCTTGCTTTCATCTCTGCCTGCCAGACCCTTCCCCTCCTCATACCACTCCCAAGGGATGTGAGCTTTCCACTGTTTAGGGGTTTTATTTCTTTTCAGGACAGACTTGACTTGTGGGGCCATTTTGAAACGTTTGCTGGGGGATGGGGTGAGAGGAGAAACATTTCTAGAACCTTGCGTCAAAGATTTTAGCAATCTGGTCAGACTACTAAAACTGATTGCTTGACATTAAATGCAAGAGGAAAGAAGGGACTTAAATCATATCAGGTTGTGGGTCCTTTTGAAGGATTTCAGTGTTAAGAGTGGCACGCCATTCCCAGGACAGGAGAAATTTGGAGAGCCTTAGGTGTCCGGTTGCGTCAAGGTAGACCTTCAGGGGGAGCATGCAGCTTTTTTACCATTCTTGACCAAATGAATCCTTCGCACCATTGTCTTACCTTTTACTTGACAAGTATTACAGCCAACCGGACTTACTCGAGATCAGTTATTTCTCTGTAGGTTCTACACACCCTGGAACGCAAAAGCAGGCATGGGTCTTCAGTTTACATAAAGTTTGCAATGCATTAGCTGTGAATTAGGCTTGTTTTTTCAAAAAGACGTAAGCAGTTACAATGTGTGATTATGTGACTCCAATAAATATTATTTCAGCGCAGGTGTCTGTATTCAATAAAAGCAAATTTTAGATATCATGGCTGTTATAAATAAATTAAGTGCTTGATTAATCTAGGGTGATTCATAATTGAAGATCATTTTAATCATGAACCTATGTTTTGGGTAATCATGTTTTTATATTAAATTTGATAATAAGTACGATTTAATTTTCCTTCCTCCTTAACAACAGAAACTGTTCTTTTCAAGTCCGTTTTTCATAAGAAGAAATTATCTGATAGGGATGGCAGTGGCTGCTTTTTCTACCCCCTTCTCATTGTCTTGCATGGAAGCCTCAGTTTTCTAGATACAGGTCCTTTGATGAGATTCTAGGTTAGAGACTCCCCTTCTTACAATGCTGGGATTCTTCATACAAATTGTGCTGATTCTTAAGGAAATCTTTGCTGATGTGTTTTGGCACCTGGTTGGCAAGCTATGCTAAATTATTTTTGTATTTAGTTTTTCTTCCACATGAGAAGTAACACATTACGAAGAAGATAGTCTATGCCATTGGACAACCCATTCAGAATGTTTAATGAGGTGGAGTGCGACTAAGCCAAAGGACCAGCTATCAAGAACTGGGCTTTGTCAAAAGCTTCTTTTCTTTCTTCCAGAGGACTCTTTGAAAATGTAGTTTGATATCTTTCCCCACTAAAACTTGTAGATGAAATTAGAACTTTGAATGCTGAGTCTCATCAATTGACCTAAGCCATTGTTCTCTTTGCAGAGCCTCAGCTTAAGGGTATTGTTACCAAACTATACAGCCGACAAGGCTACCACTTGCAACTGCAGGCAGATGGAACCATTGATGGCACCAAAGACGAGGACAGCACTTACAGTAAGTGACTGCTAAATAAATAAATTGTATGTACAAGCTTGTTGTTGACTTTGGGTTCTTTTTATTTATTTTTAATTCAAACAAACCTCGCCAAATCCTTAGGTGAATGCAAAATATGGTCATGTGACATAACCCTGTTTACACAGGCTCATCTACAGGAAGCTGAACAGGGAAACATCTAAAATATAAAGTAGGGCAAATAATGTTGACACCATCTGAAGGTTGATCCAAATGTCATCTCCATGGTAATCTAGATAGATTTATGACTGTCCTTTGGATTTTATTACTTTTTTCCCCCAGAAAAATTTCTCACCCACACAGCGATCCTGAAATAGCATGCTATCTCCACTCTTAAAAATGAGTCTCATCCCAAGAAGCAGGAGTGTTTTCCCACTGTAATAATTCATTGTTACAAGCTTTTATCCCCACCCCACCCCTGCCACATACACCAATAACTCTGAGACTAATTGATATTTTAACACCAAGTTTCCATGAACTTGGTAGAATGGGTCTGCAAAGGCACTTGTTTTAGACTAAACTGGAGACAGTAATGGTGAATCAAGAAGGGAATGCATCCAAAGAGAGTTTCATTTGTAATTAATTATTGAAGCCTAGTGATCTGTTACATAATCTTTATCAACATCTATTTATTTAGAGTAATTAAAGCAAAACACAAATAGTGCCCCCTTTTCTGCAGCATTAACAATTGCTGTATTGTAATTTACAGATTATCTGCAGCCTTACTCATTTGTTTCTGAGGACTAAAATTCTTGGTTCTCATAATTCGTTCTCCGTTTTCCAAAATTTGAATTCATTTCTTTCAGATTTGTTAGTTTCTAGAAATATTCCCATTGTTGGGTGAAAAGCCAGCTGAGGAAAGTAGGTCTGGCTGCTGAGGAGTTCTCTGTAGTTCTTCTTTTGGAACTGCATTACTATGGGCAGTAAAGCCATAGGTAAGTGTCCCAGTATTAAGGATTAAAGATTTTCACACCTTTTAAGAATGCTTCCTGGACTGGGGGTTGAAATATTACCTCAAGAGAAAGTTACCCTCAATTCCCATTGAAAAAAAAAACATCTCTTAGATTGTAGGATGAAGGCCCTGTATGTTGAATGGCTCTTCAGTGTTCTGCCAAATGCTGTGTTGCGGTGAGGATATTAAAGTTTTATAAGGAATCCTAGTTACTCCTTCATGCATACTATTCTTTTTAAAACAACTACCCAAATGAAGCAGAGCACTTTACTGCTATCAAGTAAGACACATTAAGACACAGTGATCCACAATAAAATATTTCACCAAATTATGTATACAGAATGATATTTGGGGAAGGAATTAAGGGATGTATGCTACTGTCTATTCTATCTTGTCTCAAGAGAAAAAAGCATTGTTAATGGGAAGTTTGTGATGAACTACCAATCAGGATTGTTCTCATGCTTTAAATATCCAAGTTGAAACAGGGAAGAAATATTTGTTTTCAGTGCTTATGCATTTCCTCAAAAGGAACAGTTTTGTTTTAGATAGATGATTCAATATGCTGTGTCTTAGTGACATGCCAAAATAATAAAGATTACACTGTACATATTCATTTTAGGAGATACACAATACACAACACACACACACACACACACACACACACACACACACACACACACACGGGGCAGGGACAAGGAGAGAGAGACAGAGAGACAGAGAGAGAGAGCGCTCTACTTCTTACTATAGATCTTTATATTGTATGTTAGGTTATACTCTTTAATCCTACAAATGCATAGTTTTTTCCGCTGGTTGTCTTATAACTCTGACATGCCATTTGTGTGTGCTAATGACATTCAGAGCTCTTTAAAGAACATAGCCATCTAACAAGAATCCATGTCTAGTCTGATTAAAATGTACAGTGGTAAGTCAGTCAAAGGTAAGTATTACCATAACATGCAGCACGCAAATGGAAAGTATCAAAAAAGAAAAACTCAAGCTTGACTGCCCTGGGTTGAAGAACAACCAGAAGCCTAGGGAGCTACCTTCACTTCCCCATGGATATTGTGCCATATAAGCCATAGTAAAACACAGATGCCTGTTGATTAAACTGAGCCATCGCATTGTAAGTGTGGGTTTTCAGATTTATACCCCCAAAGCCATGCAATTTTTTGATATTAAGTTTAAGTAATTATTTAATGAATGGAACAACACAAGTTTTATTTTTTCAACTGGGACTCATAATACTATTTCCTCAACAAGCGTTCCCAGTATTATGTTTATATTTTTTTCTTTTCATCATAGTTTTGAATTTAGTTCAATTTAATTAATTTTATGTTATTTTAGCTTAGATATGGTAAACAAGATCACATGATAAAACAAATAATTTCATGCTTTGTGTATGTCCATTTCTAAAACCACAGTTGATACTACGTATTTAAGGTTACCTTATGTAAATTTGTTATAATGGTAAATGTCAGTCCAATGAAATTTCCTCATGGGCAAGTAAGAAATTATAAATTACGTGTTTTCCCCTGAAAAGGAAAAGATAGACATTTCATGGTGGCAGTTTTATTATCAGCCTTGGGTAAGAAGAACGGATTTTGAGAAGACAGATTCCCCTTTTTCTTCATACCTGCAGTAGTTTTACCAGTTCAGCAAGTCATGAATCTCCAAGTACATTAAAATAATTCCTTTGTTAATTATTAGTTAATTGGAGAAATTGGCCTTATCTTAAGCAACGTGGAAGCAGAGCTTCAGTGTAGAGTTGAACTTTGAATGCCAAGGAGACAACACTGGCCTGAGAAAGTGATCCCTTTAAGTTAGAAGTGCTTATTTTTATGAAGGCACAATAGCAAATAACAAACAAAATAGAGGTTATTCATTAAAAAGCTCTTAAAATTCCTAAAATGAATAAATGAATAAATAAATGGTCAAGCATGTTGGTGCATACATTATTCCCAGCACTCTGTGTTTTCGAGGGCTGCATGGTCTACAGAGTGAGGTCCTGGACAGCCATGCTACACAGAGAAACCCTGTCTCAAAAAACCAGACTAAACAGAAAAGTAAACAAACAAATCTCTTCAAATCTAGCTGAAGGAGAAGAAAAGATTTGAGGTATTTAATTGAATGTGCTTTAGAAACACAAATGAAATCTAGTATTTGTCATACTTCCCATTTTTCTACTCTCCTCAGTTTTGATACATGTGTGACTGTGTCTGTGTTAGATTACATAATGAATGGCCTCCTACAAACTCAATACCACAACTCAGGAATAGGTAATATGGAATGATGTTCTTTGCCTCTCTTTCTACTTTAATTGTCTACTGGTTGAAATTTAAGCATTTCATTTCTCATTAAAACACAAATCTGTGAGCAGTGAAAATCAACATAAAAATCAAATCATTATTATTCTCTTCACGCTCTCCCTCCCTCTATGCTCATCTCTGACATTAAAAGCTATATTCATGCAACTAATAAGCTTTAGAATATTCTTTTATAAAATAAATAATTTAAAATTTCATTTAACAACTGTCTTTGTTATCTATTAGTATAACCCAATTAGGTTTCAGGCACATAGTGATATTGAATTTAAACAAACCCACGTAGAACTCCTTGTTTAGTTTATTGTAGGTCTCAGATTTTATTTTATTTTATTTTATTTTTGAGATAGAGTTTCTCTGTGTAGCTTTGGAGGCTATCCTGGAACTAGCTCTTGTAGTCCAGGCTGGTCTCGAACTCACAGAAATCAGCCTGCCTCTGCCTCCCAAGTGCTGGGATTAAAGGCATGCAACACCACCGCCCGGCTAGGTCTCAGATTTTTGAACTATGAGATTCTCATATAATATTATTGTCATCTATTATGTCCCCCCAATACATGATCATTTTCCCACTATACTTTGGCTTATTATCAGTCTACAGATGGGTTTTGAGTACCTGCTGTAAGTAGGATATCATCAACAGAAAGAAGCATGACTTATACATGATGTGCTCAAAGACAGGCTTATTTCCTGTACATTACATTGTCAATTATAGCAAATGATCTTGGCTTGCAATATGTGCAATTAGTTTTCTGTATTTCAAGTAACAGAAGGGCACAGTTTTTTATATGGTGAGTATTGAATGAGGTGCCATCAGTGGCATGTGGTAGGAACACTTGTATTTTGAACTGTACAGTATGTCCTAGCTCCTCTTTGATAGCACACAAATTCTAAGGAAAAGACGTATTGTAGGAATCACAGGAATATTTTGTTCCTTATTAGGATTTTGCCCATATTACCCTATCTAATGCAACAGAGTCTGTATGCACAAAGATAAGTGATTCTAGACAAAATTCTTATAGATGGGAGTGACACCTTTAAATTCTTGCTCATGAAAGTAACAGACCAGTTATCATCCCCAAGTAACTTACAAAACAGGGCAAAAATCATCAACATTGGTCTATGACTCCCAGGAGAAAGGTGCACAGGCTATTTTCAAAAGATGTGTGTGGCAAACACTACGTTTTAAAAATGTACTATTTTATTTTTGTTCGTGGTGTGGGAGGGCGGAGACAGCTGGCAGTGGGAGAACACCCACCAGTTGTCTCCAGTGAGTGGTGTGTGCTTGTGAGGAGCTCTTGGGTGTAAGTTTCATGCAGTAAGACCTTCAGATGGAAAGATGAAGACCTCATTAGCCCACTTGCAACGGTTTTGCAGAAAACATTAAAATAACAAATAGCACTTTTTCCAACACCTTATTTTTTTCCTATTCCTATTATCTTTGAGAATAAATGCAAGAGCCTGATGAACTCTGTTATTCTGCAAAATGCCCGTTCGTTCTTTATAAAATACTACTCTTGGAATATAGGAATACAAAATAACAGTTTTTTCTGCAAGGCCCAGATTTATTTAGAGTTGTTTTGCATTGGAGATAATACAGATAATTTAAATGAAAATGTTGGAGTAATGTGTCTTGGGAAAGTGTAGGAATTTCTCCTCAGTTAGTAGTTCCTTTTAACAGTGCTTATGGAAATGTCAGAAACTGTCTAGAGGAGCAGGTTAAGAACTTAATTTGATAAGGATGACATTTTAGTATGCAGAATTATTCCTGATCCTTTGCCACCCCCCAAATGTAAATATCCCCCACCCCCAGTGCTCTAAAATTGAGGATATTTCAACCAAAGTCTTCTGTTCTCCTTGGAGTGTTTGAGAATATGTTTTATAGACCCACCTAATAATAATCGTAGTCCAATACACTAGAAAGTAGAACAAGGCTGTATTTGCATATTTCTAGACTCACTTAGTCTACTATGCTTTTAGGAAGCCAGGTCCTCCTGTTGAATGCATTGCAAAGCTATGAAATTTGCAATTGTAACATTCTCTCATTCTTTGCAACGTCAGCTCTGTTCAACCTCATCCCTGTGGGTCTTCGAGTGGTGGCTATTCAGGGAGTTCAAACCAAGCTGTATTTGGCAATGAACAGCGAGGGATACTTGTACACCTCGGTGAGTCTTTGTGTGCATGCTTTCACATGCCTCGTTTTCATCTGACATGAAAGAAAATGTATGACATATATTCTTTTCATATAGAGTTTGGTTTCGATGGGGATATAGCAGTTGGAAGGGCAAATTATTTTCTGGTGAAAACGATAGCTTTTCCTAATTAATCATTGAAAACCAGCATGGTCAATATCAAATCAGTAATATCCCTAGAAGTTTTGCATAAAGTGCCATTGGAATATTATCTACCGTTAAATAGGGAGTCAGACATTGCAGCTGTGGGAACCATGCTGTTACTTAAGTGCATAACCATGTCTGTCCCCATTTATTTCTGAAGAAATTAATGAGCTCTCTCTCTTAGATCAATTCCAGGACACAAAAACTGGTTTGAAAAGTGCTCCTCAGTAGTCATTGCTAATATGTTCAGTTAGTACAATTGCCATTTGTTTCAATTTTTAATTTTTTTATTAAAATTTATGGGTACAGTGTGACAATTCAATATTTGCATACAGTATATAATGATCAAATCATGGAAATAAACATTTCCATCCTTTTAAACACTTTTAAAATTTTTGATTAATAGTCATACTTCTGGTGCACAGTGTGCTATTTTAGTACATTTGTAAAATGTTTCCCAATCAGGATAATTACATTTCATCTCATTATCATAATTTTGTGTGCGGAGATATGGAGGTCCTCTCCATTCATTCATATTACATAACTATATGAATATATTATATTGGATGATACTACTAATGCCATTTTTTTTGTCAAGCACAACTTAACCTCTTCTTACACACAAATTATTTCTGGTGTTTATTCTAACAAGAATGAGGATGATCAGATCTGTAACTTTGTCTGGGTATATTGAAAAAAATATAGGCTACTTTTTAGTGACTAACTTGGGACCAAATGTACATTCATAAGCAAATGTTTTATATTTAAATATAAGTTCAAAATGGCATAGTACTGGAGTTAGGATTTTACTCCTATCAATGGATCTGCTTTCAGGTTGTAAAAGATCTATTTTTTATTTATTTTGAGTTCCTGAATTTCAACAGAGGTACAGGATGTTTAGAATGGAGAAATTGGGCTGGTAAAATTGCTCTGTGGTAAAAGGTGCCACAAATATCAACCTTGATTATTTTAGTGTAGTCATCCAACCTCTCGCATAATCAGTCAACCATTGTAGAAAATCTTTAGGCCTTCAACAATGGGAAAAAATTGCTTATCAAACTGCCTACTAGCCTTAAGAAGGAGGTGATTACCGACTATCAAAATCCATTCTTCAAACTGCAAATAAAACAATCTGTATTCAGTACTCCTTCTCTGTCTTGTTAGCTGAAATTCATTCAAAGTCATATATGTAAAATGACTTGACAGACATTGGAAAAATCATGCAGTCGCCTTGGTTTTAAGTGCCCAAGATGGGAAAAAGATGTGGAGAAGAAGACCACTCATACATTCGTAGGCACCTCAACCAGTGGGCACTTTTTAAAGCATTGTCTATATTGTTGCTTATGACATAGAGAGGATTTACTGTGTTTGATAAACTAAAACTTTGAAATTGTTGCAAGCTTCATGAAATCCATTACTCTATCAATACAGTGCTAGAATTGTAGGAAAATGTTTGTGCAGTAATATCGTGAAATTGCATTTTAAGTGACCTCTTTTAGATCAGCAGGGGCAAATGCAAAAGTAGGCTTTTAATATGAGAAATGAGTCCTTGAACTAATATGCAGACATGGAAAGGAAATAGTACAAGGAATATACTTGAGAAGAAAAAATGTGGAACATTCTATATTGTTTTGGTTAGGGTTTCTACTACTGTGATAAGACACCAAGACCAAGGCAACTTAGAAAAGGGAGACATTAGTTAGGGTTAGGGTTCCAGAGGGTTAGAGCCTGTGATGGTGGAGTGAAGGCTTGCATCTCACTTCACAAGCAGGAAGCTGAGACACATGGGGGAATGATATGAGTCTTTGAAACCTCAAAGCTTACCCCTACTGAAAGAAAAACAGTCCTCCAACAAAGAGCAAACCTTCTAATCCTGCTGGGAGACCAAGTATTCAGACATAAGAGCCCATAAAGGCCATTTACATTCAAGCTACCATAAGTTCATACTTATATTGTGAAATGTATTTAGTTCAATATCAAAATTCCCTATAGTCTTTCCATCTAAACACTTTTTATAAGTCCAAAATTTCTTCTAAGACTCAAGGCAATGTCTTAATTATAACCCCAGTAAGTTAAAAAATGCATATTTCTAAATACACTGCATAGAATATACATCCCAAAAGGGAAGAATCAGGCATAGTGAGGAAATTCTGAACCAAAACCTAGCAGAGAAAACTCCAAATCCTATAGCTCCATATCCATTGTTTAAGGGTTATATATCTCTCTGTCCTTCCAACTTTGTTGCCTTCAAAAAAAATCTCACTCTCAGGATGATTCAACTCTCCATGTACAGCTCTCCTTGGCAGATATCCCATATCTCTTGCATGTCAGCATCCAACACAACCAGGTTTTGCTTCACATAGTTGCTTCTCAAGGCCTTCATTGATCTGCCCTGTCATACATTGCCTGTCCTCTATGACTCCCCTTAACCATGGAAGAAGATTTCACAACCCTTTTACTTGTGTATCCTCTATGATTCTAGAACCAGAATCAAATGGAGGGTGCTGCTAAATTTGCTGCCTGCTTGGGATTCAGCCTGGCTCCATTGAATTACATTTGCTGAGGCTTTCCTTTGTTTCTGTTTTTGAGGAGCAGATAATTACCTATTTCTTTTCCTCAAAGGTCAGAGGACTAGGGGGTGGGGTCTTGCCCTGAGGGCAACCCTCCTTCATTCTTTTGTAGATCAGGCCTCCCTTAATCTGCTTAGCTCTTTCAGCACATGCCTTGGCTCCAACATGGAATTTTCCAGTGCTGTTTTGTTTTTTCTTTTCAAATTGCATTTTGTACTTCTTTTCACCCCATTTGATTTTTTTTTCATTGTAGACATGCATAAAAGTGATTAATATTAACCATATGACAGAGTCAATATTTGGCTATCTTGAAATCTCTTCTACCAAAGAAATAGGTTTATTTTAAATTTAGCCTCAGAGAAATCTTAGGACAAGGGAAGAGAGCAACTGCAGCCTTCACCAAAACACCCCAAAATGATCTCTAACCTAGTTGCAAATCTCTTGAGCGGGGTGTCTATTGTCTGTATAAATCTCAGCATTACTGTATTCCAGTGTCCTACTAGGATTGCCCATCCATCTCTGCTTACAGCATTCAATCACTTTTCCAGTACCAAATCCCAAACTCTCCCACAATCTTTCAAGAAGCAGTAATGGTCAGTTCTGTCACAACAGTAGCACCACTCCAATACTAACTTCTGCCTTAGTTACTTTTATATTGCGGTGATAAAACACCATGACCAAGGCAACTCATGAAAGAAAGCATTTAAGTGGGTTTAGGGTTCCTAAGGGTTATAGTCCATGATGGCAGAGGGAAGGCATTGCAGCTGGAGGAGCAGCTGAGAGCTCACCTCTCAATCCATAAGTAAGATGCAGAGAGCCACACTGGGAATAAAGTGAGTCTTTTGAAACCTCAAAAGCACCTCCAGTGACTCAGCTCCTCCCAGAAGGCCCACACTCCTAATCCTTCCCAAATAGTTCCACCAACTGGGACCAATATTCAAATATATAAGCCAATGGCAGCCTTTCTCATTCAAAGCTCTACATATATGTGCTTCCTTTTAAGGAAAATAACCTTAAATGAGCAATTGGAAACTAAGGAAAGTAATTACATTGTCATTATGGTGGAGATATTTCTGATTTATGTTGGAGCTAAATGTAGGGGTAAAATATACAAACTGTTCTGTTCTAGGAATGAAAACTTAGTCCTCTCCAGGTAAATGTTCCAGTTCTTTCCATTACTCAGTATTGATTATGACTTCAGGTTCCTTCAACAAACTGATCATCACCCCCTCTGGAACACCATTTTATTTTCATCTTGTTTAAAATGTGATCTCTAGATCCTAAGAGGACAGAATTGTATCCTAATAACATCAAAGCCAACTTACTTGGTAAATAATTTAGGCTCTGTAGGTAGGTCATAAAGTTTCTGCCATAACCATTCAACTTCCCTGTTATAGCACAAAAGTAATCATAGGTAGTAAAATAAGACAGTGAATATCGTTATGTTCCACTAACAGTTTATTCACTAAAACAGAGAGTGGGATGGTCTTGCCTTATGGCTACAGTTTTCCTTTTTATGGCCTTCTTTTCCTTTCTCCTTTCCCCCAAACAGCTGCTCTTTACCTCCTCTATCCCTATTTCTGGATTTTCACAGATGACCTTTCATTGTATGTTAATGGGAGAATAGAGGTCATCTGGCCGAAAATGCAATTTACTTGTCTATCACATGGGAAGATGTTACACTCGCATTTGCCCCTGTCCTTCTGTTATCAACCCTTTGCCTATTTGGAGAGTGTTCCTTCTTCTCTCCTTCATTCTACCATTTTTCTGATATTTTAATCACCCCTTGCTATCTTGGAGCTTCTTTACATATATCT